TTGATTCTGGTGCATTTAAGCAGGAAATCCACTAAACCTGGGGTGTCCTGTCCTCAAAAGGTTGGTGTGGCTGCAGGTTTTCATTGCCAGAAAGCAAGTGCCCACCTGATCAATTATTTGAAGACTGAGACCAACTGCAGCTACATCGGCACTTTGCGGATGGGACTCCCCTGCCCAAACTGTGCTAGAGTTCGGCCCTCCAGAGCTGGACGTCCCTGCTGTATGGTCAGAACACACCTTCAATTGAGTGTGCCTTCGAGTCGAGGAAGGGTCCTAAAACGGGTTCGCTTTTATCTGGCAGCGCAGATGAAAGAGTGGGTTTTTTCATTGGAAGGTACCTAATGCCATTATAATTACTGATGCTGTGGGGGGTAGCCTGTGTGTGTGAGACATGGAGCCATGGTGGTGGTTGTTATACGGGAGAAGAAATTAAAGAAAGGAAATGAGTGCGGGAAATAAGCCCAAAACAGACAAAGAGGGGAAGTGTGGTGTTTCCGAACGCCGCCTTCAACTCCGCACACAAACTGTCTCAGCGATTCTTTCCGCCGCTGTTCGTTCTACGGCCGTGATCACAAACGCAGCTCCCCGTCGTGGGATGGCCAGCGCCGCGGGCTCCGAGCTTTAGACTGTGAAACAAAAAGAGAACTCAGTCTGATCTGAGCTGAACAATCAAGCCTTGAAGGCTCTTGGATTTAGGCAACTTCGTTAAACATACTTGGCGCAAAGGAAGACAAGGGCTGCCAAAAATAATTCGGTAATGATGAGTCGCTTAATTACGGAGAGTGGGCGAATTAAGTGTTATGAATGCAGAAGGCATGCCAGTGGAGCTGAGGGAATACGTTTCAATAAAAAGAGATTCCAAAAACGTTGAGTTGACGGTGTGCGGCATCAATCTATACTGGTGAACAAGCTTTGGCAAATGAAAACACTTGTAAACGTGCAATCTTTGCTACACTACACTTTCGCTAATCGAAACAAGACTTATTTGAACAAAAACTGGGCTGTGTGCTACAGTTTCTCATTAGGATGAATGCCCCACCTAGCATAAAACATATAAAACAGAGCGTATCTGTGGGCGGAGCATGGACAAATCAATTAAAAGGGAACTCTTCTAAAATCTCTGCGTGAAGATGTAAAGTCATTCATGGTGGTTTGATGTGAAATGCTTTCTGTGTGAGATTTGTTCACAGTGATGGTGAAGGGAACCAGACGTCTGAAGAGTTTAATGCCTCTAAAAGCTCCCTCACAGAAAACAACTGCAAGAAACTGTTACGTTTTAAAAGTTGTTCATGGCGTAGAGGTGCATGCAGGTCAAAATAGTTCCCTAAGAAAATCTGTTTTTTTATATTTACCACTATGAGCGTGTTTCTGCAGTTATCTGATTATTCAAACACCATACTCCGATCTAGAAATCCGATAAAGAGAGCTGGATTTTAGCTCAGTAATCACATTTCTCAGTGCATGAGAACTCTTACTCTGATTTCTTTCGGATTTCTCAGTCTGTGCATGTGGGAGAACAGATGGTGGATGTCGCGAGATGGCAGCAAAATACTTTTGAAGAGGTGCTGAAACCAAACATGAAATAAAGGATGTAAACATACTTCATCTTCTAAATGATGTATGTTCATAATTTCAGGTAAAGTGGCGCGATGTTTAAAAAAAAAAAACATGAAGTTTGAGTTTTACATTACGTTTACACGTCTTCTTCTGTGAGTTTATTGGCTGGTTGCAAAGTAGAAATCTGATTACTGCCTGATTCATGTAGACCCAGAGTTTCCCATCTGATTACTCAAGAGCATGTAAATGTGTCGATCAGATTACTAAAAAAAATCTGCAGTTACCAGATATTAAGTGCATGTAAACGCGCTCTATTTTACCATCATCAACATTACATACAAAAACTCACATAGATTCACTAGTCATTTAGAATAGAATATAAAATGGCTGTACTTGTGTTGTACATACTGTGACCCCTGGCTCCATTTACCATCACTGTAAAGAAATGCGAGTCAGCAACTTTCTCTTCTCTGAACCACAGCCGGATGACACATTTTATGTCTCAATCATTGAATTATGCAGAACCTTTGAAAAATCAGTGGAATGCTGTCCTTAAAATGACTTTAGGAACAAAATACTCAAAGTGACAGTTTACTTACTTCAACCACTTGGCCTGAATATAAGTGCTCACGCACTCACTCACATAGACGGGCAGTGAGGTTGAGTGTGTGTGAAGCTGTGTGTAATATTGCTACAGTTAGGTGTAAAGTGTTGAGAGTATTAATACAAGTGGGTGTGATGTAATACAGGCACGCTTACAGTGAGCGCAGATAACATGGTGGAGAGCAAGAGAATAGGAGAGTGGGGGAGAGAGAGAAAGAGGTGTGGAGAAGTGGTACAGGTTGAGAGGGTGGAAAACAGAGGAAGAGGAAGCAGAACGGTACAACAGATACAACCAGAAGGGGAAAGTTTGCAGAAAGTTGCTATGAAATCCCAGGTGGTTGCTAAAGTGTTACTAGGCCATTGCAGTGGTATCCCAGGTGGTTGCACAGGTGTTGCTTGGTTATTGCTGTGTTATTCCAGGTGCTTGGCCTTTTGCTATGGTATCCAAGGTGGTTGGTAATATATGAGTATGTATGTGCTAGTATGTATGAGTCTGTATGTCACGTCTATGGGGGGCAAAGTGAGAGATGTCCTTTGTTGTTTGTGTTGCTAGGCCACTGCATTGGTATCCCAGGTGGTCGCACAGGTGTGCTTGGCTCTTGCAATGTTATCCCAGGTAGTTGCTAATGTGTTGCTTGGCTATGGCTATGAAATCCCAGGTGGTTGCTTGAAGTTGCCTACCAAAATGGTGGCAGAGTGACTGTGACGTCATTGGAATACTATCAGTCGGGCTCATTTGAATATTGAGGCATTCTATGCTAAGCTTAAATTTCCTCACTTTTTTTTTTAATAAAAGAGTTCAAAAACCAAAGCATTTACATACATTTGGCTTTTCAGCCTGGAATAATCTTGCTCCACCCATTCACTCTGAAGTTATAAGTGTTTCAGCCCAGGCTGCTTTTCATATGAGGCACAATACAGGGCAGTCATTTAGAACAGAGCTCATTCACATATATCAGATTCATAAACCTAACCAAATGTCATAAATGGACCTCAGGGGACAAAAGAAAACACATTTAATGGCACCTTTAACACATATATCGTGCAGCCTTACGACAGACAAAAAGACAAAAAAGGAAGAGCTGATCTAGTGTGTGTGGGGCGCGGAGGGGCCAGGTGATCTCACAGCAGCAGGGAGCGGCCACGGAGACCGAGAAAAGAGAGCAAGACAAAGATTGCACAGCAAGAGAGAGCCTCTGGAATCAACAGAAATGATTTTAATAAGCCAAGCCTGTCTGATTTAATGTGTCTCACTTTTTGGGCATTTTTCCTAGACTGGCATTAAGTCCAGGCCTGCACTAAAAAGAATTATTAATGATGCATTACCACTGGCATCGCAGTTTAGTCTAAGTCAACATTAAATCCAGGTCCAGCAAACTGGCATATATTTCGCTTGTGCATATCAGAAAAAAAGAAGTATGAAGCCCATCAATATCACAATATAACCTCCATCTAAAACACCTGCTCCAGCAGATCCAGCTGTTCGCAACAGACTGACGAGGAGCAGAGCAGATCAGCGTCCAGACTGAACTGTTTGTTTGAATCTTAGTGGTCATTCACTACTTAACTAGTACACGGACCATATGAAGAGTGTGATCACACGCCCCCTCCCTCCCCTCTCTCCCCCTGCCAGGGAGCTTTACTGGCATGAATGCTTTACATGGCCAAAGTCATACAAAACGACAGCCAGTTTAATATTACTAGTAATAAAACACGCAATCATATACATATATATATATATATATATATATATATATATATATATATATATATGTGTGTATATATATATGTATATATATATATATATATATATATATGTATATGATTTGTTCATCATCCCCTTATACATGGCAAACATGCACTAGGTGAGTTAGATAATGCCTCTTCTTCCTCTATCTCTTTTCTTCCCTTTCTCTACACCTCCCTCTTTCTCTTTTTCTTTCTCTTTCCACACAACTCTTTCTTCTCTCTCTCTACTTCTTTGTCCTTTTCGTTCTGTCGTCTTTCTTTCTTTCTCTACGCCTCCATCTTTCTCTTTCTTCACATTCCTTTCCATCTCTCTTTCTACACACCTTTCTCTGTCTTTACATCTCTCTTTCCCTTTCTTTCTCCTCTTACCCGCATGTCCTTCACTTTCTATACTTCTTTGTCTCTTTCGTTTCTCTCTCTCTCTTTCTCCACACCACCCTTTTTCTTCCTTCACGTCTTTTTCATCTCTCTTCTTCCCTCTCTCTCCTCCCCTCTGCCTATTCTGGTTCTCTCTTTCTCTCTTCTCTCTTTCTCTTAAATCACTTCTCTCTTCCTTCCTTCTCTCTTTCTCTTTCTTCATCTCTCTTCCTCTGTCTTCTCTTTATCTGCGTCGCGAGCTTCTCTGAAACTCAGAGCGCCAGACCGCTTCACGCAGCGCGCGCACACGCATACACCTATACACCGTACGCGCGCACACGCACGCGCTGCCCGGACTCTCCGTGTCCGCAGTGACGGTGAACCACGGCCAGCCTGACACCACAGTTTCTCCAGAAAACGCCTTTTCTGAGGTAAACTCCGCTGTTATTTCGTTAGTTCGGGGGTTTTGTGGAATAAGGTCGCCTCGGGCTATTTAAAACGCTCTTCTTCATCCTCTGTGAGGAACAGGTTGTGGCGCCAAAAAAACCCAAAACAAAAACAAAACCGCTAAAAAAGAAGTAGCGAGTAAAAAGCGTTAGCTTTAAAGTGTAAAACAGACCAGGAGGGAAGGCACGAAGCTAAAAAAAAGTATGAAAATGTGAAAAACCACTCTTTACATCGCACAGGAAAGCCGAAAAGTCATGTTTTATGCCCAGGAAACTGCTTTTTCTTACCTCCTAGTGACAGAGACAGCAAACACAAACTCCTCAGCGTGCTTCCCGCCATGGCTGCTCCTCTCAAACTTGTCCGGTTTCTTGTCGCTTCGACTTTCTTGCTCGGTGCAGCGGCTCTTCAGTCCGTCTCGGGTCGGTGAAGACTCCCTTCAGCCTCACACACACTCTGTCCCTCTGAACACACACAGCAGTGCCGTTTTAGACTCCCCCTCCCGCCTCACTCACTCTCTGTAGCTCTCTCTCTCTCGCTCTCTCTCTCTGAGAAATCTGATGAGGGCGGCAGTGGCTTTGGTTGATATATTTGCACAAAAGGTGACCCTCCCCCCCTTAAGCTAAGCCACACTGTTAGAATGTTGCTCCACTAATGTATGAGCTCTTTCAAACCAAACACTACACTTAAAAAATCATACAAACACATTCCCTTGAAAAAGTAAAGTTACTTAACAGGTTTAACCTTCACTAATCGTGTATTTGAGTTAGGCCAGGGGTCGGCAACCCAAATGTTCAGAAGAGCCCTTTTGTCCTTTCAGTAAAAATCCAACCACCTTGGGAGCCACAACATTTTATGTAAATATGTCTCAGTATGTGCTAATGTCCTAGTGTAGGCTAAAAGTATAATACAAACAAAAACACAGACTTACTGCTCTGCTTTAAGCTTTAGCTCAGCTACAGCCACTTTTCTCGCATCTCCAGCAGGAAACTTTTCCGCAAAAGTTGAACAGTTTCTTAAAAATGTCTCTTAGCGTTTGACTTTTAACGCGGCTGAAGTCGCATCTCATTCGCCAGTTCTTGTTCGAATTTTCCCGTTCCACCTTAAACAGTGCGTGAAGCGCCATAATGTAACTGCTGCACCATTTAAGGTGGAACAGAAAAATTCAGCTTAGAAGCTGGAAAAACGAGAGGCTTTTTACCTTTTGACAGTTGCTCGTTGCAGATTAAACGTATCAGCAAACCAGCTGAAGTGATTATAAATGTAAATAAGTCTGTTTGTCTCCAAATTATCGGTGTTCGTCTTAAATCTTTCTCTTTGTCGTTTCGTTATCTACTAGCTAGGCGAGGGTGTCTGCGTTGCTATGGTGACTAACAGTCTGCGTGCAGACTTTTAGGGTTAAAGGGTGAATTAGCAGTTAACTCCAGCGTTTAAGACTGTTTATTATTAACACTGTGTTGAACGATCAGCAGAGCTTTATTTTACTGCAAAAGAGGATTATTTTATTTTTACCTACAAATCTAATTCTGCTGTGGAGCCACAACAGGGCAGTAAAAGAGCCGCATGTTGCCGACACCCTGGCCTAGTTGCTAACTTTAAGTGTTCCCACACTTTTGCAGCAAGTAAGGTTAACTCAAACAGCTCAAACAGTGCTCTACTTTTTCAAGTTCTGCCCACTCTTGAATTCATTATGTTAAATAGATCCAAACACTCTTCCTTGTGTAATATATTGGGACCAATTAAGACCACTTCATTATATTAAATGGACTGTTTTGTACAGTAAGGAATAAATGGCTTAGATAAGGGTAGAAGCACCCATTTCTGAGGCCTCTGATAGATTAATGCATATTCACCATTCTGTTAGCATTCCTGGCTAAAGGCTGAACAGGCAAACCTGAACACCACATTTAGAGTATGCACAAAAATAACATTTACAAAGATAATTATATTTATGAATTACCAAAATAAGCGTTCACAGAAACTAACAAAGCCGCTAAGAAGGCTGGGAAGATTTCTCAAGTTCAAGACTCCTCACTCTGTAGGATTTATCCAAATTAACTAGATTTACCTCAGAAACTAAGGATTTACAAGAAATATTATGTGAATTAAAGCAAAGCTGTTAAACCAAATTAAAGCAAAATGGTGAATTAATTATTAATTAGTGAATTAATGAATCAGTAAATTAAAGTAAAATTGGTCCCCACTGAAATCAAATTATAACATTGCTGTGGGTTTACGTACCCAAACCAGTGATAATTCACTTTTACCTCACCATTTTCCAGTGCCTCTTTGTCCTTTAGAATTAAACAGGCTGTTAAGACTAATACATGTAAATGAGCTCTGTTCTGATTGGCTGCCCTGCATTGTGCCTCATTCAAAATGCAGTCCAGGCTGAAACACTCTTTATAACTTCAATGTAAATGGGTGAGGCTGAACTTCTTCAGGATGAATAGGTGTGTATGTGTACATGTTTTGGTTTTTGTGACATCAAAGAATCAGTGAATTGAAACATTTTTTCCAACTTAGTTTCCATATATGGGCGGTTTGGTCTGAGGAGTGAATTTTGACAGTGTGTACATTCTATATCAAACCTGAAGAGGCGGATATATGAAATGTATGTGTGCAAAAAATTTGGGTCAGATTACATGTTCTGTTGATTTTCTAACTGACAACAAATTAACACATTCTCTACAAAATATAAAACATTACATTTTAATACACAATAGAAAAAAAATTAATATGTTAAACTCAGTAAATGTTAATAGTAAACAGTAATTGTGTGTTAAAATGAGGATGTGACAAGTAATTTGACCCAAACTCTTGTCTGTATGTAAATGTGTTGGTTTTCATGACATCACAAAAACAGTGAATTCAAAACAGGCTATTTTCAGGCTCAATGTGGATTACATGGACTCAAGAGTGAAAGGTATGTTTCAAAACTGCAAAAATGTTTACATATGACATCAAACTTTCATATTTAAAAACAGCAAAAGACTTTGGTATGGGGAAATGGGGAATGGGGAAAAAATGTGATCTCAGTGATTTTGACCATGGTGTGATTGTTGATGCGAGATGGGCTGATTTGAGTATTTCTAGAACTGCTGATCTCCTGGGATTTTCACTCAAAACAGTCACAAAAGTTTACTCAGAGAGGTGCAGTGCAGAAAAACATCAGTGAGCAGCAGTTCTGCGGACGGAAATGCCTTGTTGATGAAAGATCAATGGAGAATGGCCAGACTGGTTCGAGCTGACAGGAAGGCCACGGCAACCAGACTGTACAATTGTGGTGATCGGAAAAGCATCTCAGAATGCACAACACGTCAAATGCTGAAAGATGAGGCTGCAGGGGGCACAGGCTTACCAAACCTGGACAAAGCATAGACTGGTCTGATGAATCTCGACTTTTTGCTGAGTCAGAATTTGGTACCAACAGCATGAATCCATGGACCTAACCTGCCTTGTGTGAACAGTCCAGGCTGGTGGAGGTGGTGTAATGGTGTGGAGAATGTTTTCTTGGCATACTTTGGACTCGGTAATGCCATTGCCTGAATGCTACAGCCTATTTGAGTATAGTTGCTGAACATGTGTATCCCTTCATGGCCAGAACTTAACCGTATTCTAATGGCTACTTCCCAGCATTGATAATGCATCATGTCACAAAACAAAAGTCTCAAACTGGTTTCATGAATATGACAATATTCAGAGGTGAGTCACTGGCACTGAATCCAACAGAACACATTTGGGATGTGGTAGAACAGGAGATTCCAAGCATGAAAGTGCTTAAAAATCTCAAATTCAACTTGGATCACAGTCTCAAAGGAATGTTTCCAACATCTTATGGAATGCATACTATGAAGAATCAAGGCTGTTGAGAGAAAAAAGAGGCCCTACACAGTATTACCACAGTGTTCCTAATAAGATAGGTGGGTTGTTTGAATTTTTTCGAAGAGAAGGAAGCCATCACTGCTATAAAGCCAAATATGTTTCTATTTATTAGCATCTAAACAAGTGGTACATAAGTAGATTTTATTATTTTTGTTTTTGGATAATGCATGCTGGGTATTGTAGTGAGGGAACACTACACTGGACAAAACACAAAAATGATGCAAAATCATAAAGTCTGTCAAACTGATGAGGCTGAGGAATGTAATGCTGAGATACAGGATACTGCATAACTCTAGTTTTAGGCCATAATGTTGCTTCTAATAAAAATAGTCCACGATGTGTGTACAGCCCAATTACCAAAATCTAATTGCCCTGTGAGAACGCTGCCTTTCTCACGGCCATACTGTTACTATCTGATTGTCATGTGACTTTTTGGTTTACCTCTTCCTTCAGGATGGTTTTGGTGGCACTTTAGGTCTTAATCTAACGCTGCATGTTTCAATTTAAAGGGTTTATATGATGGAAAACTGAATGTTCCTTGCCTTTTTTGAAATAAAAGGATTGTAAACATTGTTAAAGTTTCAAAATGTACCGTTCACTCCCCAGACCTTACAGTCCATATATGGAAACTAAGCTGCAAAAGCAGCCGATTTGAACTCTCTGTTTTTGTGATGTCACAAAAACCCAAACAATGTTATCCACCTATTTGGACTAAAGAAGTTTAGCCCAGCACATTCACATACAGCCTTCCTTCAAGACAAAAGGAACTTCAACCGCTTAAAAAAGTGGTTCTCGAACAAGTCCTCAGGACCCCCCAGATACAGTACAATGTTTTTCCTTCAACCCAGCTCCTGACGCTCCTAAACTGAGTCATGAAAAACACCAAAATACCTGGCCCAGGTGCATTGGGAGCTGGGAAAAAGGAAAAACCTGGACTGTCTAAGGGAGCCCAGAAGACTGGTTCAAGAACCATTGGCTTTTTATAATCACAATAAAAGTTGTAACAAAACATTTAAAAATATTTACATTTTCAATGTTGCTGCAGATTATTACTTTTCAACAGCGAATAGGCTTACTTTTTGAGAGTGCAGAGTGGTAAACTTGTGAAATAATAGCTATTATAACCAAAGATCATTTATGAACATTTGAGGGCCCCATTTAACACAACCATATTGCATTGGATGCAAGAATGAAAATAAAGTTTGTCTACATTTGAGCACAGCAGCTGTCAAACTTTTATCAAACTTTAATGATGAATGGATCAAAAGAAATGGTCCAAAACTACTTGAAATAAAATCTCTGTACATTAAACCTTAAATCTTACTTATTTAAAAGAACTTATTTGTCTTTTCCTCTAATGTTACCATTTAGGAGATACCTATTTTATTTATTTATTTATTTTAGACAGTGACAATACATAAAATAAATGAATAATCAATAAATTCATGTTTGTTGAGGTCCTAAGTGACTGCTTGTACAGCTTATAGCTAGAAACAGTCTTCATCTTCTTCTTCTTATTGTTATTGTTATTATTAACTTTTCACAAACTTCCGTTTTACATATGTCCCATCCCATATCATGTGAAACTACATTTGCTCTCTTGAAATAAACCTTTAATGTACTACATAAACATTGTGAAAGTTTCAAACATAATTTTCA